CTGTATGACCTAAAGCCGCTTTGCAGGTAAGTGCCAAATTACTCGAAAGGAAAACAAGCAATATCTTTGACGCATATATTCAATGCTTCGGTTTGGAAGCCTTAAACGTAGTTTTACGAGTAAAGTATGGAGTCGCACTAGCGACTAGCTAAAAAGATGTACATCATTACATCATTATAGTCCCTTTGAGGCCCTGGTAAAAATGAATTTCGTTTTTATCGTAAAAAACAAAGAAGACATCTTTATTGCAGGGCCGTAGGCGGAGCCTTGAAAAAAGTCGGCAATCATGTGAAGTTTTACGCGTTAAATGTGTTCTTTTGGAGTGTATGTCGAAAGATCGCGTCCCGGCGGTCGCCATCGCCGTACTGGATTTATACTTCACAGAAATAAAGTTTTCACATCCAGAAATCTTGTCAGTATATCAAAAAGTGTAGCGAAGGATCGCGTAGTGGAGATTCGGGAAGAACAAGGTAGATTTTAACTTTTTGGTTTGCTTCGTTCGGCAACAGCAACCAACACATGCCTTTCGACCGTCTCCTGTTCTTTCGCAGTCGCGCGAATTTCAAATGCAAGAACGAAACAACAATGACTTGTTTACATCGCGTAAACAATAATATGACACCAAATTTGGTCTGTATGTACAAAATTACTCCGAACTACTGTAAAAAGTTCAAAAGGCGCATCCTAATAACGTTCCCGAATTTGTAACTACTAGACCAACACCAAACCAACTGGGTTTCGAAGCATAAACATCGGAGACTTCATACAAGTTTTGCACCTTTTGATTTGGAAGATTGGAACACTCAAGAATCTATAATATAGTAAAGTGAACTAATCAAACCATTACATTTCCTCTTTTTGAGCCAAAATATTAGCTCGTGTAATAAGTTCTGTCCACTTTTTGTTTCAGTTTTTTCTTGCCAACACTGACTATATTTGAGATAAAGTGTGTATGCTTTTGAAAGCTCTGCTCTACAGGCTCAAACGCATCGTCCCTCAACATGGCAGGGAATTGAAAAAGATTTTTATCATTGAAATAAAAAATCCAAAAAGCCGATCCATTTCCGACATCTTTTTTCCTGCAAATTTTTCTCGATTTTTATTGGCAAAACTTATGAAACAAGCTTGACAACAACCAAAACAATCTATTAAGCTTTTACATTTATCCTATCACTGTTTGCGCATATTCCCTTCCTTCCACCTGCTATTTAATGACATTTTTTAGAAGTCGGCGACTCAAGACTTTGTCACGGCGATGTTCGCCGTCTCGCGTACCCAAGCTGTGTAGCTTTCAAATTCGCATTGTGATATTAAACCTTCAAATCCGATAATTTTGAAGCCAAGAATCATGCTTTCTGTCTTTTTTGGATGATCGGCCTACCGTCTTCCCTCAGGATGCCTTCAGATGATGCTCAACACTAACGTTGAAAAGGCATTAAAGAAGAATTTTTTAAAGTCTATAGAAATGATTTTTGAGAAGTTTCAGCGCCTCTGAAGCGCAATAGAAGCTACAGCACTCTTTGCTTATGTGTAGCAAAATCTTCGGACTTATTCATAGGCATTCTAACTAATTAGGAAGGCGCGTAACGTAGTTATCGAAAATGGACTTTTTCCCTGTTTGATTTTCTAAATTTGACGCTGTAAAACTTTTCTAATTCATCCGATGTAGAAAACCGAAATGAAGTTTTTAATAGCGAAGGCATAGAGCTTTCAAATGCATATAAACAATTTACAGAACATCGCGCAAGATATTGAGAAAAAATTGGAAGAAAAAATGGGACACAACTTATTACACAACCTGATAGTATTAGGTTGTAAAGAAAGTTCCCGGGCAGTTGCAAAAATTTTTTTCACATTGCTGCAACTTCAAGCGGATTGATTCTTTTTTGAAGCTACAAACTTCATTGCAAAGACAATTTTGTCCACAACATATACTTGTCTTGCTGGCTTTTCAGCACCTCACTGCGGTCCACCAGCATGCGCAGAAGGGAAAAAGGTCGTTGCGAAAAGTGGCCTATTTGTGCAGGATTTTCTCAAACATTATAAGAGCTGGAGAGCCCAGATGCTGTAGTTATATAGAGGTTTGATGGGGCTGTTATGGGGACTATTTATGTTTCTGAAGCACCACCTGCAAAAAAATTTTCTCTAGAAAGTTTGAAAAATCGACCATTTTTTGCTCCTAAAAATGCTCCATTTTTCGAGTAAGTGACTTTGAAGTCTTCTAGATCTGCACAGAAAGGACCAAATCTTTGATTACTGGGAACATTGTTGGGGTAAAGCCTTGCACACCTTTTGGACCCATCGTGCAGGCGTGGCGATCCCCGCAGAAGCGACGCCAGCTGCGAAAAGAGTTGCAGTCAGAGGCAAGTTCGACAGCTTGTAATTCCTGAGCGCAAATCGCAAAACTCGAGTGCAGCTGCGGGTCAGAAGTTAACAGCCTTGCCAATCAAATCACCCATGATTTGGACGAAATTCTTTGAACTGCACAAAAAAATGGCCGTAGGAAGAAAAATTATGAAATTTTTGTGGTTGGAAAGATTTCTTTTCTTGACGTGCAGATCGAACACGTCTTGGCATCAACAAAAGTCAGACGGCTTTTTGAAAACTTCAGGCTTCCCTCTACTGAACAGTATAAAAAACTTGGTGTCAAAGTCCGACCGAGCGCCGAAAAAATGCGTTTGAAAATGAAATTTCCAAAAGTGCCCGGGAACTTTCTTTACAACCTAATATAAACATACGCATTGATAGACATCGCGCTCAATCTGCTCAGAGCGTCCTTTGAACTATGTGGCGAATATTGCATCATCAAAATGTCGTAGGCTAATTTGATTGAATGTTGATTGGCTTGGGCGCTTTTCGACATAATGAACACAAAAATGGTATCGTCCGTTCCCCACTCTATGGGAGTGGAGCTTTGCCGACGTTTGCCAACGTATGCACGTAGTAAAAAAGGTAATGTTTTAGAATGGAGGTCCAACAAGTTTTTCAACGTGTTCAAATGTCTGCAGGGCCCACGCCCGCTATACGCATGGGAATCGCCTATACCAAGATAATAGAACCTTCGATCGATACCTCAAAATTTTTTTGATTCTTTGTTGCAGTATCTCAAGATACGCTTATTTTGCATTTACATTGTTGAGTTGATTGAGTGAGGGTCTACTAATTTTGACGCCAGAGGGAACTTTGTCCAATTGCAAATCTTGGGGGATCTCGTTTTCAAATCAAACCAATGCGTGTCGCGCCCTGTCCGACTCTTGGCACGACTAAATTATCTTCTGTTAGTTGATGTAGCGAAGACCAAAATTGGCAGGTAGGATTACTAGGCTTATGCTGCTTGGATTCCTTCGGTGCCTGGGAAATCGAAGATGATCGTAATTAATCCTCCTAAATGCTTTGTTCTCACCACATCAATACTAAGCAAAAAAGCCAAAAACAAACGAGAAGTGGCTGACTGATGGCCAAGGTCAAGCGTGGGGTGTGGCAGGTCATATTGGGGGATCAGGGTGAGTTGAAGGGGCATTATCGTGCTACTGATGCTAACATTCACATGACATTCGTTATGAATGTCAGACAAGCCCATTATGCAGAAAATAAGCTCACTGCGGGAATTGATATACTATTGTATACTTACAATAAGCATAATAAAGAAGCCTTGAAGGCATAATAGCATCATTTTCGTGACTAAAATGCCAGATTAACCCTGTGGACCAAGTTTTTGCGAATTCCGAATTTTCCAGAACTTGGGCCACCCAAGTGAAATGGTCACTTTCGAACATAACTTTGTTTCAGAGGTGAGTTGTCTACTTTATTTGCACATTTACAAAGTACTAATCATTCTTTACCTACGCGGTGAATCCCATTACAGATAAGGGCGGTTATGGAATTACGAGCAAGCAAAAACCTCGTCTGTTCCATTTTTTCTTTGCTTTCGATGTTTCAGACTAAGACCAATCAGGCTGAATCACTTTTGTGACACATTACGAGGTTTAGGCTATCGAATGCATATATTCTTGCTGCCTTCCCTCAGAACTGAAGCTACCAATGGGTAGGTTTGTGTTCTGCCAAAAGGTTAAATACTGCTCAAAAAACTAGTCTAACTAAGAGAAGATGAAGGTATCAGCCACTGATTAACCTAAGAATCCCTCCTTCTTTTGCCCTCACCAAGCTGCTCGTTTTCTTTCTCTACAACTTCTAATCGCTTGGATCCGTTCTAGGGTCTACTGCCGGATGAAGAACAATAGCAGCTTCAATCAAGCTACGCGTAGGAAGGGGGTTATATCATTGTAAACTCACAAATTGTGTGCTCACGTGTAAAATGCGTTCTTGCAATTGGGCCGTGCGCCTTCGTCCAGCAATAGGGCTCAACAGCGCAAGTAATTATCAAACTTTGAGCTACAGTGTAAGGTTCTTAATAATGTTAGCTTCTTGTTCTCCTCGACTAACAAGCATCACAAGACTACTCCTACACAATGGGCTGTAAATAGGGCTTTAGTCACCTCCGGACACGGCTAGACTTTGTAAAGCTGGTCTAGCTCGCGCTTTATGCGGCAAAACTGTAATAAAAGAAAACGTGTAGAGGAATCAACTGAGTGACATGGAGGTGTTAAAGCACTAGAAAAGTGTTACTATGGAAAGAACGTGTAAAAAGCCTGCTAAAAAGCTGAATGAGGAGACTATGAAAGGCAAGATGGTTATTTATACTTAGATCTGGACTAAAACACCTAGCACCTTCGTTGTACTTCTTTTTACTAAGTCGGACAATGTGCACAGATGAAGCATGAATAGAACTTGATTTGACAGTGTGGGAGGAAGAGAAAAGTAGGCATCTCAGCTTTTTTGAACTCGAGCATAACTATAGCTAACATAGCATAACTGATTCTTTCTCTGTTTACCATCTCTTCAATACTTCTTTCAGTTTGAGAAACAAAGGATATATACAATATGTTATTTGGAACCAAAAACGCGAAATGAATGTAATCCTCGAAAAAAGACTGTTAAGAGCATGAAAAGCTTAGCTTTTTCGGCGATGTTTGAGAGAATCTGAGCATTCGTGAAAGCACAGTTGCCTTAAGCTTTCGTATCCGACATATATCAGAAGTGAACAAAGCGCAGTGGAATGTATAGTTTCAAATAATACAACGAGAACATAACAACTGGCTAGAATTTCAAGCTAACGGTGTGTTGAATGGCAATTCTCATTCAATTCGCGGAGCTTCCGGCGCTCTTCGAAAATTTGTTCCATAATTTCCTTCGTGTTAACCTTGCAGCTAAAAAAAGTACTTTTTTACGAATATGGTAAGGTCATGAACAAACAAGCAAACTCTTACTCTTCGGTTAATGGACAGCATTTGGCCAACTCGGAGCATTGCTTGTGCCATAACTTGGTGTCTTTCCGGCAAATCAATGCCTAAACATGCTCTTGAATTAATATGCGCCAAACAAAACTTCTAGATATTAGTGTCTGTTATAGTGCAATGAAGACTCCTTTTCCGGATGGAGGCATTTGTGCAAAGTTCTTGACGGATCATAAGAACCTACACATGAAAAAGCTCGTCAAATTTAGCAACAATACTCTTATCCCTGTAATGCCTGAAAATTTGTCCTTTTAAGCTTGCACAATCTTGTGAAGTTATATAGATTTGATGTTTTAGTAAACAAAGCTAGTGTGAAAGAGTGACCCATACTCACGAAGACACCAGAAAACTGAGGTGTGCATAGGTGTTGTTGCTTCAGTTTTTATGTACGCAATGATGTCCTACTAATACCTCCCTTCCATCTTCCCAAACTGAAGGTGCAGGAAAATCAGCTTTCAGGTAATTTTGACCCTTTCATGTCTACGCAAATGCGTCCTGCTAAAGTGCCACCACAACACCGACATCATTTGCTGGAGTCAGAATGGTTATTAGCTTCAGATTTCCCTTTCTAAATCTGTTCATGTTGTTGTGCATGTGTTCCTTTGTCGTGAGCAGATTTCTGCGGAAAGTGTATTGATTTAATCCGATTCCAAAAGTGAATGAAAAATGCAAAGTTTCAAATTGTGATAGGCTATGTCATACAGGAGTTCATCTTCTACACGTCCCTCGACTGGTCAGTCATTTTGACCGCTCTTCCCCACCCTACCGGACGTCGAACCCCTTGATCCAGGAAGCCCCGGAACAGCAGGATCAAGTATGTTCCACCCCAACAACGACTGTTCACACATCGAATTCAACGTGAGACGCCTGCCAAACGAAGACCAACTACATGAAATGCAAGAAGCCCTGAAGAGAACACAACTCGATATATTGGTCCTAACGAGATGGAGAGAAAGAAGAAGCTTGGCACTTGCAATTGGCAAAGAGTAAGATCACTCACGTTAAAAGAATGGATCAGTTTGTTTGGGTGCCTCATATTGTAATAATATGAAAGGCAAATAAATCATAAATCATATGTCATACAAAGGCTAGACAATGTCTCATGCACGACATTCTGATGAGGAAAAAGATCAACCTGTTCACCACTTTGGACGTTGAACTGTGCAATAAGCAAAGAGTAGCCCAGATACATAGCAGAACACTGACTGCTGCAAAGTGGATCACAAAGTAGCTTAAATTTTGTGAAAATTTGAGTGTACCTCTTGTTAATTTGTTCGCTTTTAGGCTCCCATTACCCAAACTCAAATGATCCATCAGCATTCGAGCTGAGTCGATGAAATTTTGATAGATCGAAGAAAGGAATCACTTGTACTGTACTGCTACACACGAAACCTTTATTTATAGATGGACAAGAGAACATTCACACAATCAACCTAGTGTTAGTTTAGCATCCGCAATTCCTCTTGTACTTTGACTACTACATGTATTAAATTTCCGCACATGCACAAAGATTTTCTCACTTGGTGTGAAAAAGGAAATTGGTTTATACCGATGATTGCCAAGGGAATTCAAACCAATCATGGCCTGTAATGATGTTTGATGATGTAACGGTACCTCACTACAACTTATGACTGAAATTAAATAAACGCTCATCGTCCTTTGATGTTCAGTAGTTAATACATCGTTTCATAATTAAGCACTCTCCAAACAAAAGAACTAAGTTTTATGTAAAGGATAGAGCCTATTCATAACAATTTGCGATCCTTTAGTGATATATCCTGAAAAATATCTAGTTTCACTACTCACTCTTTTATTTTTATTTTGCCTATAACATGTCTCACAAATGCACAAATTCAAAAAGGAAAACTTGACATGATTATGTATATACAGCTATTTTAACCTTTCACGTTTAAATGAAAATGCCCCTCGCCTTCAATTCCATAAGCGTCCATTTTTGCGCTAGAAGAGTTAGTGTGTATCCGGATGCAATGCACTTTACTCCACTATGATGCTACCCTTTCTCAGGGTTCCCCCCCCCACTCGCCATACCGGCAACTGTTGCGCATATTACCAGCCTCAAATGAGTTTATCTACTATATAAAACTAAAAGGAAAGGCTATATTAGAAACAGGAACTACCACAACCGTCTAGTAACCTAAAACAAAAATACGGAACGAGCTGCGCCTTGAGGCTCAGCTCGTTCCGTATTTAAAATGACCTTGGTTACCCCACGAAGGTCGGCGCAAGAATCCAATTTTTTGTAGAATGAAACAAAGCCCCACCTCGTGGTGTATCATCTACTGGACTTCAACTTTCTCGCTCCAACACGTTGACCGCGGATGGAGGCCATTAGGTCCCCGATAGGCTCCACCCACGGGCAGCTAGCAGTAATGGTGAAGGGGCGTGTTTTGTTGCAAATGTCCGCGCGGGACTCGCGCTGTAGCTACTGCTCCAAACTGTTCCGAGCTGATGTTAATATGAATACCACATTCATCAACCTCATATACATGCTGGAGTCTTGCATGGTCTCGACTGCAGACCTTTTCGCGAAATAGACGAGCACACCATGATTTATACAGAACACAAATCACTTATGAAATGTGAAAACGTTGGAAAGCGCTCCAGGCAGAAAAAAACCGCGCTAATAACATTTTCGATACTTCTGCCAACGCATGGCCGAATTCTTAGCAACGTTCAGAGATTTCAAAACTGTAAAGTACTACGTTCCAGTAAAAATGATCACTACGATTGACGCCTAGACCTGGACCAAGAACTTCAGACTTGCTTCGACACGAGTTATAAAGATGCACAAGCTACTGGTTCATACTTGTAAATGATTAAAATACTTTTACTTTTTGAAAGTTCACTTTAGGCCTCGGACAGAGTTCACGCGATCTGATCGTCGCGATTCAATCGCAGTTCATTGCATGCCGTTCTTCTTGTAATTCGGTTGTGGTAGTTTTACAACACGACTAATCGTGACTAGCTATCACAACCGAAATACAAGAAGATCGGCATGCAATGAACTCGTAACGCTTTTCTTTAGCGATTGAATCGCAACGATCAAATCGCGTGAACTCTGCCCGAGGCCTTAGCCTTATAAAAAAATTTTGTTTTGAGTGTTCTAGATTCTCTTGCATTTCCAATCATATTTTTAAAATGAAGAAAACATACCATTTCACTTAATACAACACAAAAATTGAAAAACACAATTTGCTGAAAGTTCGTCTGGGGGGTTATTTGATCTGCTAATCACGAAATTTATTTTCATTTCGCATGGTAGTGCCTTTCTCGAGGAGTTACGATGGGCATACGATAAAGGGTCAGATATCGCTAAAACTATGCCTATTTATTATATATCTATCTACCTAGACTATCTCGTATCTCAGGTCTCGCTGAAACTTTGCGTAGTAGATTCCTTCATGCTAGTCAAGAATATTAAAGTCATTCTTCAAGATATTCTTATGGTAAGGCTACGGTAGGTTTATGGCATGAGGCCAAACCTGGAAATCACTTGGGGATTGATGTTTATGAATACCCTACTCTTTTTATTTTGGGATCTTTCCAGGGAGTTATTGTAAGTATACGGTAGGCGGCCAATGTCGAAGACCTGCTGAAACTTTGCGCAGGGGGAATATTGAGTACTGATTACGAATGTAGCTTACGTTTCGCATGGTAAGACCTTTCATTGGACATTTGCGATTCAAAGAGAAAGGCGGAAAGTTCATTTATACCACGTATCTTACATGACTTCGAAAAAGACGTTTTTGCAGTGAACGATCATGAGATTCGTTATCAGCATATTTGAAAACCCTCCAAGCAAGTTGGAGCAAATTTGGTATGTTGACCCAACAACGTATACCAACTATCGTACCCCACGTTGACCATATAAAATGGTCCTACCTGCGAAATTAAACTCATTTTCAATCAGCATGGCAAATAACCTCCCTGGGCAAAGTGACATCTGTTTTAATGGTTTGTCGACCGTCTACCTACTGTAACCTCTTGAAAGAGGCTCTAGCAGCGAGATAGATCTTATTTTCCGATCACGTTGGGATTTCTGGAGGGACTCAGCAAAATTCGTAACTTTTAGTTTTTGAAGGTATTGAGTGGAATAGAGCTGGAAAACCGCGTGGAAAACAATATTAATTGTGATATTTGAGGGAGGTTCTCAAATCAGAAGCAAATATTAGGAACACTTCCTGAAGGGGTAGAGGAACGAACACCTCAATCAGGCACCCCCTAAGCGGGCAGCTGGTCCTTTCGTCCTACTGTGGTGCATCGCGTTAGGAACAGTAGTCCGCGGAGGCGGTCTAGTTGAGGTGTTCGTTCCTCCACCCCTTCTCAGACAATCGACGGGACCCCTCCGCCGGACCCTCCGAAACTGCCAGAGTCGCGCCGGACCCAGTTGACCAATGAGAGAAGGGCAAATGGGCGGTCCATCGCGGTGACATCACTGGCAGGCAAATGGGAGGCTTCTCCGGCCCTGCTGCAAAGGTCCGCCATTTCTCCGGCGCGACTCTGCCAGATTTGGCGGACTCCGCGCCGGAGAAATTTGCGCGGCGCGTGTCCGCCAAATTTGGAAGAGCCGCGCCGGAGAAAATGGGAGGGGTCCGGAGCAGAAATGGGAGGTATCCGGAGCAGAAAATGGGAGGTATCCGCCGGAGAAATGGGAGGGCTCCGCCGGACAAATGGGAGGGCTCCGCCGGACAAATGGGAGACCCACCGCTGGGGAAACGCCGCGACCCTGCCATTTCTCCGGCGGAGGGGTCCTATCCGCTGTCTGAGTTCCTGAAGCATTTCGGCTCGTTTTTGGTGAGTTGGGTTTACAAGAAAAAAGCCAATGTCTTAACTCAATGAGTCAACCATAAAAAAGGCTGTTTTCTTTGTCTGATCAATTAGTGCGTCTAAAAGGTCGTTTTGTTTGAGAAACAATAAGAAACACTACGGGAACACACCTTTTGCCTTGACTCCTTTTTCCGTAAACCTTTCGAGGTCGGAAGCGAGCGTTTCCTTCTCTTGTTCCCTGGTGCAAATGGGAATTTTGCATGGATAGATCGGCATGTTTGTAGCTGAAGAGGTTGTTTGTAAACAAGAAACCACAGTCACGAGGCTTTCTATCTGCATAGTGACTACAAACAACAGGTCGTAAATGCTACGTCAAAAAATAAATTCCTTTCCTAGGCTCCCTATTGCCCTCAAAAATTTTTCGTACACAGGAAGAATTCAACGAAGAACTATTGGCGAGGTATCAATGGTTGCAAGCTTCTGCATATCACCACTTTTGTATATATCAAGTTGTCTTACGATTTCTTTAAATAAATCTTACTGCAGTAAGTCATAGTCTTCCTACATTCTAAGATTTTCGGAATACCATTCAATAAAGCAAAACAACTTCTATAGAATGGTCTCGAACATGCACACAAAGTTTGACTCACACAGAGTCTAAAGCCCAAATCTGAAAAATCTTGAATGCCCAAGAAATCTGGAAACACCGTCCAAAAAATACCCGTTCAAATAAAAGAATTTCTCAATTTTGCAATCTCCCAATCCAATATACTCTCCAGATTAGGTATTCACGAATACGTTTATTAGATTTTTTGATGGCTAGAAATGGGAGTAAGTCCAAACTTCGCCGTTAGTTGTTCTGTGTTCCTTTGATACATATGCAGTTATAAAGCTTATTCGTTTAATATGCAGCCGAAAATTTGCACCCTAGTATATGCCCTAGTTTATAAAGTTCAAATACAAAAAAAATTATAGGCCAGCCTAACATTTTAAACCTCCCATTTCCATGGTTTTCATAATCTTAGTGGATACTACTTATTCTTTCTGCTAGGGCTCAATGCAAATATAACGTTGGAAAGAAAACTTGATGACATATACACCCGCTCGAGTTTTGCAATTGTCAGACAAGTCACAAAAAAGTGGAGAGTGGTACAAATCAATTTTATGTCAAATTGTCTTACTTCTTTCCTACCTCTGGAACGAAGTACTTGCTAATCGAATGCTTCCACGGAAGGTTGCGAACTTGAGAGGCGAAACAATATTCTTATCATAGCCAAATTATACTGAATGTGTTATACAGAGTGATCCAAAAATAGGTACAAACATTTTAATTCTTGATAACTTTCTTCCCACAGAGCCTTTTGCTTAGCTTCAAGTACCATTCGGTAGAGCAGACTTCAACTTAGTGAATACAGGTCACCTATCGTTTTTTATTACTGATTAAGGTAGGGATTTTGAAGAGAATTTTGATCCATTATCGGCAACATTTTGCACCAGAACGGATACTCAACAAGCTGAAAGCTTTTTAGGTGGACCAAACTGAGTCGCTGACTATGAATATGAATTTGCGACACTTTCTCTTGAGTTATGCCAGAGAAACAGCAATAACTTTCCTTCAATGTATTACAAAACTGTAATGAAAACAATTTAGATCGCTTGAGTAACTCGTAAAAAATTGTTTATACTGCTACACAGCCTTCCAGAATTTTTGGAATTTTTTCCCACGGCCTATATAGTATTGGCGCTGTATGCTCGAAATTCTACTGTAATCCTACATACTGTAATAGACAGAGGTCAGTGATTCACTCCATGCTGTAAATCTAAGTTGAAACCTTCTCTACTGAACGGTACTTAATGCTATGCAAAAGACTTTATGGGAAGAAAATATTCAACGATCAAAAAGTGTGTACTCACTTTTGGGACACCCTGTATATTAGCACAGTCAATAGATGATACACCAAGTGGAGGAGACAAAGAAAAAAATGGAGGTGCAAAATTATCGAACCGACAAGAATCTTTGTAGAGAGCGCTAGATGATGCAAAAACTAGTCTTTGTAACCCACCTCTTCTTCACTTAATGTAGATTCAGATATTGTAGCATCTTGAATATTTTTCTGTACACAATCCCTAGCTAATTCTGCTCTCCGCAAGTGGAGACCATTCAACGCCATTTTCACGTCCCATTTTTGTCGCGCGCAGCGATCGGAACTGCTCATCCTGTTTGCGGGGAATATTTACAGGAAAAGTATAGCAAAGAAATTCTGTGTGACTCACTGAACATTCCTTTCTGTCATTAAGCAGTCATTTTGTTTGGCTTCTAGACGTTGCATACAGTCCAGATAATCCTCACAAAAACCCTAAAAACGGATAGAAAATTCATTCACAGCCAAATTTTACCAGTTCTCCCCCTTATCCCTCTGCCGGAAACTCTCATCTGCGTCGTGCGCGTGAAACTAGTCTTTCCTCACTCTATGTGAATGACACCCATAGAAATGTGATCAAACAAATGTACGTAAAAGATGTGTGCGTGAGTGTTTATTCAACCACCACATCGACGACTCCATTCAAGGTCGTACAACTATGAGACCAAAACGGGGCCACTCCAATTTGACTCGCAAAAAAAGGTGGTGAGATTGAAGTGAACTTTAACGTGAACGTACCTCAGAGGCTCTCACCGCGCCAAACAGGGCAAAAAAGGCTATGTGGATGGTGTTGGTCATTACCGCATAGAGGCCTGGAAATGTTTTGGTGGTAGCTTAAATGAAAAATTCTGCAGGACATTATTCGTCGCAAGATTTAGCGAGAAAAGAGAAGAGATATGAGAGGGTATAGACAGTCGGCAAAAAATTGCATTGAAAATCTCGAGGGTGATAGAGCACATATAACGATATGAAACCTTTGAAATATGCAAGCAGAAAAATTCTAAAAAAGGATTTCGCCAAATATAAAACTCATAATGCTATGAAAAAAGACCTAATTGCGAATATATTGATATCATGATGAGAGCTAGAAACTTTGTTACTTCTCTCTGCCACGCCTCTTTTTTGGACTGTAATGTATTATTAAAAATTCCTTGATTCGCACGATTGCTTAAAATTAATTCAAGGTAGATCAACTCGGAAGGATTTTATGCGTAAAAGCTAAAAGTAGGCGTGGTCGAAAGAGGGGCAAAAAACTTTCCAACAAGCTCGAAGGAAATAGTGTCTGGCGGAATAAAAAATAAGCACAAAGATTTCAGATTTCAATGCATTATTTGTTCAGTTGCGTGTTTACAAAACATCATTGATGTAACATAATTAAAATAATAGATTTACTTATGCGAGGGTTAGAAAATCGTAAAATAGAAACGAAGCTAATTTTGTAATCAAATCATCCAACTCGAGAGCATGATAACAATACAGGAGTGATGAGGCCTATGTACTGTGCCTTGTGTGAAGAGGTGAGAGAACAGGTTTTCCGTGATCGTTAGCGTGTGCATTGACTATTGCGTTTTTATAGAACAACAACAAGAGAGTAAAAGTGAAATGAGAGGTGGTCTGCTTACACAGAAAGAAATGCTTATGGGTTTTGTTAAAGAAATAATTTGACCCAGGGCTCGGCACGAGCTGGCACCAGGGAAATTTCAAAACGAAGTCCCCTTTGATCTTGCAAATTTCGTACAAAGTCCCCTCTGACCTTAAACCCTGAACGTAAAAATCCTCAAAAAAAGAAGCGTCTACTGAAAAAAAACGTCGCATTGCGTCTTTTCGGCCACAAAAACGATATCAAGCCTGACGCGGTGCCAGCTATGCCGAACCCTGAATTGACCAAAAAACTTCCTCGTTTAAGTGAAGTAGAGCTCCTCTCACAAAAACATATGAAATGAGGAGATTCAAATCTGTACATATCATGTATATAAATAAAATAGCCAACGTGTTTGCTGAAACTATGAAAAGAAGCTCGGTAAAGAAGTTCGAGCAAAAACCGACCTTCTTCTTCGCTTAGAATGGAGAGAAATAGGAGGTAGAAGGACATTGGTGGTTTCCTTGTAGGGGAGACCCAGCATGGAAGCTGTGGTCTCACTGGTCGAGATACGGCAGACTCTCTATGTGGCTGATCAGTTTTTGGAATGAAAATTTTGTTTCTCCCACAATTTCCATGAAAAACCGCGAAAATCCCGATCTCGACAGAATTTACGCCACAGAAAATGCCTTTGCTCCCGGAGAGAAAAGTCAGCACAAAACCCTTTCAATTTTTGGATCCCATCCCAAAAGTTATCGAGTGTCAAGCATGTGAGGAAGCAATGATATGCATATAGATGAGACTGCGTAAAGGAAGGTTCGCCGCAGTTCAGTAAACTTGGAACTTCCTTACAATAATGAAAATGCGAGAAATATTGGTTCAATGCTAGCATGAATAATTTTCGGCATTTTAGTGAAGCTAAAAAAACGACAAAAGGACTGAGCTTTACAGATGCCCAGGAAGAACGCGAAACTTTGATGCTTCGCTCAATGCAAAAGAAAACAATTGCAGGATAGAATGAATCACATAGGATTCTTACAAACATTGTATTACGAAATCTGTAAATCGGTTGAATTTTTCAAACTGGAAACAGCCAAAAGGTAGTAAAAAGTGAGTGAGTCATAAAAGCTTTCTGAAAGAACAATGACGAGAAAGATTTGCCTTTTGTCTTTGCCATTTTCTTCAGGAAATGATCAAAAAAATGTATACAATATATTTTAAAAAAGCAAAATGTAAGTGAGATACTGCAGAACTCTATCTAACAAAGCAAAGATGTGAATATTGGTGTTACCTTTTTAACTCATGTTAATCTATTCGCACCAAGAGGAAAGGAACAAGATTTATTACCAAAGATAAATCACTCCTGAATGATGTACTAGTCATTTCGGCCTTATCTTTGACTCTTCATTATTCTTTGCCTGAGAAAAAAACGACAACTATGCAATAGTGAACACAGAAAAAATTTCATTTTTAGACACATGCACATAGAACTCAGAAATCGATGAGAAGTGTTATTTACGCGATGTACGTAATCTTCGTCGTCTAGACTCAAGCACACGAAAAGGAAGTTATGTAAGCAGCAACACAGCTTCTAACAATAAGTGGATGCGGACGTGAAGATGTGAAAGAATTGCTGGAAACTGCAGAAAAAAATAATGAACGGAAATTTTTTAATGTGTGCTTCTGAAAGCGTTTGGAGGTGAATTCATTGCCTCAGAGTTACTGTGAGTAGGAACTACGGCTTCTCAAAAAAGCGTTGATTCACATAGTGAATTGTGTGCAAAATTAGCACGTGAGGTAATTCGACAACAAAACCGAGTAGTTAAGTAACCACATTTGAAAAAAAAACCACGACATAACTTCACCATTCGGAAAGCCATGAACAACATAGCGAGAAAGAAAGTTGCTTATCTATTTATCTATTTAATTATTTATTTAATTTAATATGCACAAGGCGTGCCATATTTGGAACAAAGAGCGAAAATACTTAGAACAAGAACAGTAATAAACAAAATAATAAAACATCCACTAAAGCTCAAGTCCAGCTCCTGAGAGTAGGGGTTCAAGCTATCTATGACTGCGAAGAAGGAATGCAGAAAGGTGTTTAGTAAGTATCCATGTAGAAAGTAATGTGTGGTATGAAAAGCATGAATAATAGGAAAATGGGCTTTCGTCTTATGGAGAGCATTTTCAGCGACTGATGTGAATATAAGAGCTTACACAGTTTGTCATATAAGGAAATCGTTCTCATGAAACTAAACCCTAAACATATGTTTTCCAAACAAATGTTAGTAGCTCCATTTGAGCGACGAATAAAATTAGCTGCACTTGATCGACTGCGACGACCTCACATTCTATGCTATTGGAATATGTGGCTGAAGAAAAAGTAATCCAAAATAATAATTCAAAATGAATCGAATTTTTGATTGAAAAGAAAACAGGTTACGTGAGGCAACCTTTGTGAGGCAAGAAATGGAGTACAGAGAAGAGTATTCTTCAAAAGTAACTGACAGTATTGCACTCTCCTTTCAACAGAAGTACCGCTGTCAATAATCGAACAATCGATCCCCCGAAAGAGGGCGATCTTCCCGCGCAAGAAGATTATAACAAGGTATTACGGTATAATACCGTGTAATGCATGCACGTAAAACGATATGGTTTCACTGCCTTTTTATGCAAAAAATAGTTTGTGTAGAGAAGTAAGAGATCATTCAGAACGATTCAATGACCGATAATCAATGATCATGACATATTTCGTATTTGATCTGAGCTGACAAATATTGAAGCAGAAGCATTTAGACAATAGAGTGACTTGTGGAAAATCAAGCTCTGGCGAATGTCAGGAATTGTTCATTGGATGTTTTGTGTTTCGCATTATGCACAAAACAAAGCAAGTAGAGTATTGAGCAGGTTAGAAATGTTTAATGACCTGGATTTGCGCATTTATAATATCATAGCAGAACGCAGAGGAAGTGAAACAAAGAAATTTATTCCTACGAGGCTAAACATTACTATTTTTGGACCTATATCGACAGAATTATCACTACAATTGACATGCAGGAGAGATTTGATATTGTCTCTTGAAGATCATATCATTACACTTGTCAAATAATCCATGAATTTATTGAAATTATCACAAAAAAAAGTCTGAGAAGTTTAATTTAACATCACTCTTGGCATCTTGCCATATTCAATAATAAAAGTGTTTCTGCGATCCAATATGCATGTAAATTAAAATATAATCCAGAAAAAAAAAGATTATGAAACCTTGTACAATGCTAGTTCAAAGCAATGAAAAGGACGAGGGGTATAAAAGAACAAACTTTATCTGCAGTACATGATTTTTCTGTAGTCTTAGTTGGCACTTTTCAAAATGACTGTATAGTTCATTTGTTTTTTTTTTTGTAAGATGACATGAAAATGTAGAAGGGAATTTGCAAAGGCAGCGGCGGAAGATTGGATTCATAATTCTTGAATAATATTAACATGTATTGTTGATTTATGCAATAAATTATGCATAAGTACAAGCCTGGAAATAATCCATTCCGTGTTTCTGCGCTCTAAAGGACTGTACCGTATCTAACCAGCCAGAAAAGCAGAATAATTCATCAAAATCATCTTTTGCAAATGGGTATAATCTTTTAGACTAAAATGAAATGAGCCTTCTTTTAACCGGACTACTGTGGGCAGATTATCGCCTTTTTTTTTCATGAAAATGATACTTTTTCATGAAAATGATCAAAAATTAAGAATTAATATTTTTCTAAAAATCTTTAATGTTTTCAGATCGATGTTCTGAAAGCATTAAAGATTTCAGATGTTTAGACTGCGCCAATTGCTTGGGAGATGGTAGTAAGAGACGGTGGTTCTCCGATTTCGAGTCAGCCAGGACTCAGTGACATTTCCTATTATTAGAAATTCTATTTTCATTTTAGAGCTCTTCCATTTTGCGATGCATTTCGGTTTTTTGTTGTTTGTTTGGTTTGTTGATTTCACATTCATGTTCCCGTGAGCTTTCTGCTGTTTAATTCGTCTCCAATGGGAATAGCCGTTCAAGGAAATCAACGATTGGTGGTCCCACTACCTTGAGATCCCCCTCATTCGCTCGCCCAGGGTCCCGGACGAACTCTTTCGTTCGGGTTAAGTCGGTCATCCGAGCCCTGGTTCCATTATTCAAACCCGCGTTCGGGATGGGGACCAGGATTTCGGTCTAGGACGTCGCACCGTCTGCAGAT